AGTCCATATGTGAAAATCTTGGAAAAGTAATAAATATTTACTCTAACTGTCGTCAAGTTTTTTTTTTCAGCGTGTTTATGCGGCAATTCATAGTTTTTTTTTTTTGATTTGAAAATAATGCGAACACCTCCTGGACAAACAGTTGCCCCAAATTAGCCTGTGACACTGGAACGTTCTCGCATATTGTGGGCAGGGCTATGTCAGGCTCTTCGGTCCTGAGAAGCATACCTTAAGGATAATACGTAAAAGCTGTTCGATTTGTGCTCCATCTTTGCAAAGAATCCCTGAATTTGGATGTTAAATGCATATGATAACGGGAGAAATGCACTTCAGCAATATGCGCACATCCTCGTAATATCATTAAAATGGTATCTCCACACCGTTTGTCGGGACCACACCTGTATTTTTTTTCATTAAAGTCATATCCTGTATAGTCTTAAAAAAAATATATCCCAGTACCATCATTAACATGGCGCTTTCACATTACTTGTCTGGGACACCTCTGTATTTTTTGTTTTTTTGTTTTTTTTTTTTTGTTAATATCTTAAAAAAATAAACACTGGATTATGCCAACCTTCAGCGCATTCGTACTGAAAATTGCCACTAATATATATGAACTAATGCAGGATATATATAAGGTGCAATGCTTTTTCAGGTGGACCGTACAGTTGACAAGGAATTGGAGGAACAAATCGAACAACTGAAAGTTTTGCACAGACACTATAACCAGGTTAGTCACAATTACCGTGTTCTACGAGATTTCCCTAATCAGTCACGTATAGCTTGGCTTTTTATTTGTTCGACCGACTGGATTAACTAGGGAAGGATCAGAAAGCGAAGAATTGGCAGGCAGTATTTCGTTGCAGGGGTATTTAAGGAATTTTTGTTGTTTTAAAAACCGAAAATTCTTTTTTTTCCGACATTTTTGTTCGCTGTTTTTATCTGATCAGGACCGTTTTGGTATTTTCGTGTAACATACTTGATGCAGTAGCAAATGGAACTGCTAAAATATTGAAGTCGGTATTTTGGAAGTGCGGCCCAAAAGCTGACACTCTTCTAGAACTCATTCTCCTCATTGGTAAATTGGTGCCAGCATACTCTAAAGAGCAGAAAATTATCCTCAAAAGAGTACCTTTTTTTTCGAACTTTTGTAAAAACTATGGGATTTGATAAAGAATTTTTGCACCAAAGCGCTGGTACACCCAGAGGATGGTGCTTTTTGTCGAAGCATTACTTCTCGAGTCAATTACAAGTGTTTCTTTATCTCAAATTTATACGATAAGGAAGTTTTGTCACATCACTGATAGCTAAATAGCTCTCACAATGTAAGCTAATGAGGTGGATTGTGCTTTTCAGTGTTTTTTTTTCCAAAAAAAAATTGCAAATAGTCTACCTCCCTTGCTGCTGTTCTTTTAAAATGCTTAATTTTCCATTTGAAATAAATTGCGACGGAATTCATTGCGGTCTTATTTCTCATAAAATTTCACAGTTTTGCTAAAATTTTTTGTGGGAAATTGCTTTGAATTATTTTGAGCCGAGTGTTTGTTTCATTTTCATTTCAGGTTTTGGCAATGTCAAAAATATTTGCGGTACATTTTCACGAAATGAATGAAGCGCAGAAGGGTCTTGCCGAATCGCTTTACCAGCTTTCGCTAAAAGAAAATAGTCTAAGTGTGAGTTACTGTTCCTGAAAGCCTTTCCATTTTTTAATTGTCAAATGTTAGCCTTGCTTCTGATTTATTTCCGAGGATAGGTATTTTAACATTCAAGCTCTATCACGATCTAATTCATTTTTAAAAGACGCAGATGAATGAAAAAAACGACTTTTACTTCTAACTGCTAGTTTTTGCTTAACTGCCTACGTTGAACATTTTAAGTTTTCATCATCCTTTCGGGTACCAAATCTTTGGTTTTGTCCTACGAATTTATTATATACAAAGACACAAATCGTTAAAGCATTATATAACGAATCCGCCTCGGTTTTCACGCAGTGGTTGTGTGAACTGCTGCAGGTATCGCGGATAAACCCTGACTCCCGATCCTTCTAATTCAAAGAAGAGGGCGGGGGAGGAAGGTAGGGGAGAGCAAGGGAGGGAGGGGAAGAGGAAGGCGGAGGGGCAGGACAAAGTCAGAGTAATTATTTCACAGAAATCTGGCGGTAAATCAACTTTAGTTCTTTTTACTATGTAAATATGCTTCAACAACGGTATTTCCGAGTGCTTAAAAGATTTACTGAGGCTAATGACAAATATACTATCCAGAATTGTATGATTTGTTTTTAAAGTATTGTCGATTTGGTTCAGAGAGACTGTATTTTCAGGTGGAATGTGCGCCAAACTGTGATTCACTGCGATCAGTGGCGCATAACGGTGAACTTCTGGAGCGGGCTCTCTCTTTTTTCCTCTCGTCGTTGGCAACCCTTTCCGAGAAGACAATCGAGGATACCATGCTTACCATTCATAATCATGATCAGGTTTAGTCCAGTTATTTCTTGTGAAAACTGTTCAATATTAAATTCAACGGTTTTTCAAGTTCTTTCCTCCTTCTTTCCTCTTGGGGCAGCATAATTCTGAGTTTTTTTTAAAACTGTTTTTTCTTTTTTTTTTTTGGCTCACAGTGCTGTTTTCTCACTAACTCCAGGCTGCATGAGCAAGTGGATTGGCGCTTTCAAGGAAATCGACGTGCCCAGAAGCTGATATCTTGTTAATTAAATTTTTCAGGCCCGTTTAGAATATGATGTACACCGTAATGAGGCCGCATCTCTGCAGCAGTCCGGTGCCAGTCCGGAGATACTTGTGGCGGCGGAAGCGCGATGTCGTCAGTATAAAGAAAAATATGAGCAACTCAAAGCCGATGTTAAAGCTAGTTTTTTTTTTTTTTTTTAAATCCTTTTCTGCAATTTACCAATGGGACTGTTGCAGTAACAAGTAGTGCTAGTCCTTTAGCCAGAATTCGGGATTTCTGCTCCCGCCAGTGGGAAATCCGGTCCCTCCATGATTTGTTCATTCTTTCGGGTCAGTTGCCAGGGAGTCTAAAGTTGAGGCGAGGTTTTCTGCCCGACAGAATACTCAATGTTTGCTTCTAAAATAGGTAATAATGATATATTATTACCTATTTTGTTTTTGAACATAGTTGCTAAGCAGAAGGCGATAATTTCATGTTAATAATTTAGTGAATTTCGAGACAGTGTTGCAAATATATTTTTTTTTAATAACTTGCACCTACC